TTTACAGTGGGAGTTTGATGGCTAAACTGGAAAATAACACACGTCATAACCAAACGTTATATGATTGGCTTACAGGTAACCAATGAATTTAAACTTCAGACAAACACAACAAAAAGCATGCAATTTAAATCTTTGTATACAGACCAGTTGTTAATTTTAACCTTTAATATTATTGTAACATACCAACGGACAAGCTTCACTGTATAGTTTTCCAATGCATGGTACAGCTCAGGTTCTAAGCAACTCGAAATGATACTAAAACGTGACGCGTAAACACTGCAGATCACTGATTGGTCAGAGAGAATAGTCACTACCTAATAGTCACTAGTTAAGACATGAAATGAATGGTTTGTGTGAGAAAATGAATAGTATTCATAGTTTTTACCTCTTGTAACCACAGCCACGTCCAAGTGATCTGAGGGCGCAGGCGTTTCGGTCTGCGCAAGCGTCGGAAAGGATCTAAATATGGTTGTGAAAAAAATTCAATGTTGTCTGTTGATATATCGAAATTGTCTTCCATTGTGATTTCATGTATATCTAAATATGTTTAGATCTTCACCGTGAGAGGCAACACTTCCAAAATCTCTCTGTAAATAATGAGTGACATACACGTGCGAGAGATCACTTCCGGCGCTCGCGCAGATCGAAGCGCCCGCGCTCTCAGATCACTTGGACGTGGCTGTGGTTACAAGAGGTAAAAACGATATAAATACTGTTCGTTTCGTGACTTAGGCCATCAATGTGTACTTACATTTACGAGTCATTAAATCATGTTTAATCTGGACTATGCATCTATGCATACTCTTTGAGGTGGTGACCATAGACCTACATTATATGACTGACAGACAGTTTAACCTAAAAATATCAAAATTGAAAATACTGTGGAAACAAAGACACCTACAAATTGGATGCCCTTAATGTAAGCTAAAACATATCAAAAATTCATTACAAAGTGAACTATCCATTTAAGCATTGGGCTTTTTTGTCAGGCCCACACAATGCTACCAAATACCAAATTCTGTAGAACTCAGTGGCTCTGGTGCTGCTGCCCTTAAACGTTAGTCCGGAGCCCCAGTGAACTTAAAATAAAACTGCACATAGTAATTCACCTATTTATTACCAAGGCATTTGTCATTATTAGTCAAAAAAGGGGAAATGTGAATAACCGTGTTGCAGGTTGTTTTAAGGTGTGCCCCTAAATCTTCTGCCTGTGCTCCTAAAAATGTTCAGTTAGGGGCTAAAGCGTTCCTAGTAAAAACAGTTAGTCTGGAGCCCTGCACACTATGCAGTGGAAAGTGCCATTAGGCAGGGGTGACAAAACTCGGTCACTCAGTTTAGCTCCAACTTGCCTCAACTCATCTGCCTCGAAGTCAGTATGCCTAGTAAGAGCTTGATTAGCTGGTTCAGGTGTGTTTAACTGGGGTTGGAGCTGAACTCTGCAGGACAGTGGCCCTACACGAGCAGAACTAGACAGCCCTGGTTTAAGAAGACATGTACAATATATATACAAAAATTAATCTATATTGAATCGAATTGTGAAATTTATGTCAATATCCAGCCCCAACGATCAATACTTTTAAAAAGACCCATTTTATCACATTATAAGTAGGGATGTAACGGTTCACAATATTATTCACGGTTCGGTTCGATACACTTGTGTCACGGATCGTTTCGGTCTGTTTCCAATAGGCCGACAGCAAAAAAGATGGCAGAGAAATTTCCTTGATTTAATTTTTTTAATTATATTTTTATTAAAACGAACTAAACTAAAACTATTTTTTAACTTTGAGCAATGATGGAGCTATACTTAAATTTTCTGAGGAGCATGCATATAAAACAAAACAGCTCCTTGGACAAAATGAAATATAATATTGTAGTAGTTATAAACAAAGGTTTATTTTACTTCAGATTAACATTCGACTTTGAGGGCAGTAATTGTATTCATAATGTCAAAATAAAACCGACGTGATGTTACTTGAAAGCATTATAGCCTAACTGCCAAACTTGACCATGGTAATAGTTAATAGTGTTATACAGTAAATCCATGGTGAATGATGCTGATCTGTGGACACTGGATAGCCTAGTTAATTCATGGCACAATGTTTCTTCCTGGTTTCCATGTCAGCGCTGTTTGATCCGTTAATAACGGAGAAATGTGAATGTTTCTCACTAGATCTCGCAGCGATGTTATTACTTCAGTGGCGAATACAAACGTTTTCTTTACTGGATTTGTGTAATAACAGTGCTGCTCGATTCAGATCGGCTTGCGCTGCATTGGTCCAAACTGATAAACGGTCCGTCATCCACAGAACCACACAATGACGAGGAGCTCAGTTTCGTTCCGCTTACATTACAATTGCCATTTGATGTTGGATTTGTGGTCACGCCAGCATCTCTTACATTATGAGCGCGATTGCCACGCGCGATGCTCCTACATTTGATTTGAAATAATGAAATTTTGGTCAGCAGGAAAAATGGTCCAACGAGCCGTTCGGTTCAAAAATGCGTACCGAACGGTTCAATACGAATATGTGTATCATTACACCCCTAATTATAAGCTAATGATAAAGGCATTACACGAAATGTTGGGGGCATGTCATTATGGCTTATCCTTTAATGACAACTTCACTTCAACTTCAGTACAAGAGTAGTGCTGTTGTGGGTAAATTTACTCATCTGCCAGCCACTGTGGTCAGTAACATGCTTAATGAAACATTATATAATTTCTTAAACCCAAACTGTGGCTGGGGGCAAAAAAAGAGGTTGTTTTCCATCACTGATTAACGTTTAGCAAGTTCCAACAACTATACAAAAGTGCATGAATAAAAAAAAAAAACTAGCCTACTTATTATATATATATATATATATATAGATTTACAACTGCATTGCAATTTCCTTCCACATCTTAACACCATAGAACTCAACACATCTTAACACCATAGATGTCTGTATCAAACTAAGCAGACAAGTTGAAATGTCATTTACAGGCAAAAACGGTCAACTTTAGTTAATGGCCTAATGCCCTGGTGTCACAGTATTTGTTGCTGGAGCATTAGTTATGAATGAATTAGATATTTGAAGACATTTGTTGAGCTACGGATTATAGACCAATACTTGGCAGATTGGTTAAGTAGAAAAACAGGATTAAAAGAACTAACATATTTTAAAGATCAACCAAGTGCACTTCTACATGCTAAGCTAATGCATTTTGAATATTAGTATACCCATTTCATCTGAATGAAGTACATAGCGTAAAGACAAAAGATTTGCTTAGTTACTATTTTAAATGGATTAGTGTAGGGCCTGCTTGTTCACATGCAAACTAATCGTCTAATACTGAGAATTGTAGTTTTGTGGTATGAAAACAAATATTGTATTGTGTCGTGTATATTATCTATAGCATGTATAAGTCAGTGTGACAGACCACTGATAACATCAAGTGTGCATTCACTCAAACTACTTCATTAAAGAGCTGTTAAATAAACAATTATAGGCAAATCATAGCGTTTTGCTGTCTGACAACTCCAACCGAACAATACCACGACTGTTTAAAGCAAACAAAAGTCACTGAATGCCACCCGGCCAAGGCATTAGAGAAGCAGACGGTTATGAACACCTACACGCCAGTCAAACTTCTTGGAAAGTCCCTTTAATCAACCAGGTCTATGATAACTATACGAGTGAAATTTATCTGACGAAAATAACAGAAATCATCTTCAGTATCAGTATAACGTTAAACTACTAATGTACAGACTCCACTATCTGTCTTATAAATACAAATAAGTCATAAACCTCTGAGTCTGAACAACACTATTTATGAACATGCCACATTTCACCAATCCACTTACAGCCATAAACAAAATATTGTATATAATAGGCATTTATTTTAATCTAATCATATATATATATATATATATATATATATACACACACACACAAACCACTTTTTTATATATTAATGATTTTATGTTCTGAATATGCATAATTACACACACATTATGCATATAAAGGTGCGAATTATTTTTCTTGCAAAAAAAAAAAAAAAACGTTCAAAATCGCAATATAGGCCGAAAGCAAAACATATCATATGGACCACCAAATTTGCAATCTATCTCCAGCTATATCAATTCCTGTCCTGAAAGAGTCAAAGAATGAGGCACATGCTGTCATTCATATGAACCAAGAGAAGCTACGTCATGCGTGAAAAGAGTTAAAATGAAAACATCTGAGTTCACAATGAGTTGAATATCTTGTTTACACATCTCGGCCTTGTTTCAAACCCTAGTATGCTGCCTACCTAGAGGGCATTTTAGGGCATCATATCCGCATCACATTTGGAACGTTTCACGTGCGTTTATGACGCCCGAACCGGTTGTCTACAAAGTCAGCTCACTGGATTTTTAAAACACAGCCTATTTCTTAACGTTACATACACAGCTCTCTTCCTTAAAGACAGGATTAAAGCAGCTAATGAGCTAAAGCACCGCCACCAAGACCCAATCTACGACTACAGGCCACTGATACAGACGAGAAACGATAAAATAATGATACAATCAATTCAATTATATTGATTTAATGATGTTTCACGTTGAATTGGCCGTGTTAGCACGTTAGCGCACTGCATTTCCCTTTGTGCCTTTACTGAATCAGCCGTATACATATAAACACACATACACACGACGGGAAATACGTATTTTTATTAGCATAACGATTGTAAATAATTTGTGAGATAAAAAATAAATTTAATGAATGCTGGTCAAACGGCGGTTGAGATTAAAACACTAAACCCGTATAACGTTAAGAGAGCTAAGTTAATCGCTACGTTACATAGACCCAAAATACGCCTCGAACCTTCACCGGACCGTAATGCAGCCGTATAAACGGCAAAGACTGAGGTAAAATCACACCTTTCAGGCGCTGACAGTGGTTATATGTGTGTGTTAAAGCGAGTGAAATGTCGGTGTTTTGTGTCTGAATGGTTTATATTTGCTGGCACTCACCAGGAGTAGCTCTGCTCCGCCATGTCAGTCAGTCAGGCAGCGGCTGAGGACTGAGGTTCGGCTCGAAAGACGAGATTATCTCCTCCACACGCTTACGGTTTTCGCCTTCTTCACTGAGCCCCCTTCGCTAACAACATGGCGATGTGTTTCCTTCGGCAGCTCGCAGCAGAAATGGCAATGATTGTGGCCGTGCTGTTAGCCGAGGCTAAGCAACAAAAGCAGTCCAGGGGGAAAAAAACCTGAAACGTTTCGCTGACTTCAGTTGGCTGTCTGTCCTCACAACAGGCCCCGCTTTCAAAGGCCCTCAGATGAGCTGCAAACCCATCTTGGGTGTGCATGCATAGAGAGAGAGAGAGGGAGCCGTGTGCTGGGTTTGCCCCAATAGCTGTAATGGAAGCGCACGGATAGCTTTGTTTTCTATGGCGAGCGCGCGACTGTACCGGAGAAGTGCGCGTGCACGGCTTTGCCCACACCGATGAGATTGAAGGGACAGGCTCTACCACTAGGTGGTATGCAGTATTGCAGTTTTGGTATAGTATGGTAATATAGTGGGCCTACATTTGAAACGGAAAAGTAACGTTATCATAAAGGCCATGAAGCTGAATATAATTAGCTGATGGAGTCCATGATTAAAAAGAGAAAAGAGAGTGCTCTGTGTAAATGCTGACTATGTAAATTTCTGTATGTAAATAAAAGCACTCTATATAAATTCATTTCCTTGCAATCATCTAACTTTTGGATTGCTGTTTCTCTAGCGAAGACCAGGGCTAGTTGTCACAGATTTTCACAATTTTTCACTATTTTCACTATTTATAATTTTTCAAGGTAAGTTGGTAACACTTTACAATAAGGTTCATTAGTTAACATTAGTTAACTACATTAGTTAACATGTACAATATGTGAACAATACTTCTTCAGCATTTATTAATCTTAGTTAATATTAATTCCAACATTTACTAATATATTATTAAAATCAAAGGTTGTATTAGTTAACATTAGTTAATGGACTGTGAACTAACATGAACGCACAATGAACAGCTGTATTTGTTAACTAACATTCACAAAGATTAATAAACACTGTAACTAATGCATTGCTCATCGTTAGTTCATGTTAGTTAATGCATTTACTAATGTTAACTAATGAACCTTATTGTAAAGTGTTACCGGTAAGTTTATTTTTTGAAAGTCAGTTTCTACACACACCTTAAAGTCTTGCTAACAACGCTAAATATACAGTTCACTGACACTGAGCATGTTGATGCCAGTAGCGTTGTTGTTACAATGGAACTCGCCATATAGTCTAAGCTTTTTAGCTGCATTTAAAGGCAGGGTAGGCGATTTGTTCCTGAAACATTTTTTGTTATGCAGGTTGAAAGTCTCTTCACATCCTGATGACAAGTTAAGGGGTGTTCACTCTTCATTTGAATAGGTGAGTGTGAACTGCCATCTGAACCCTGGTGCGGTACACACCAAACAGGCAGAGCGAGACCGTCTTGGTCCGCTCACAACCACCATAGCAATGTTGCCCACCACAGTTCGGTACAGGCATCAGAACCGCGTCTCCTCGTTGCAGATCATTTTTGTGTGACAGAGGGATTCCTGCTGCTGTTTTGACTCCTTTACACAGTTTATTAGCTCTTCACGAGTTCTCAGCTGGTCAAAATACCGTCATATAAGCTAAGCACATACAATTGGCCGCATTTAGCTCAGAACACAGCATTGTTTTGGATGTTCTGTCACAAAATCTATTGGACCATCAAATGTTTGGCCAATCATTGCTTCGGTCTGCTATGCAGAGTTGCAGACAGACGTCAGTCACTGAGCACCGCAAACAAAACAGCATGAAAAAACCCTGCATGGTTCATTTACAGCAACCATATACGTATCTTCCTTACTCAAATTGGCCAGAATTACCTTCTGTGTTTCATGTAAGACCAATACATGTCCTATACAAAATCAGACTGATTATGGCCCCTTTCATACTAAATAGCACACATACATCTTGTAGGGGATTTTTGTGTCATATATGAATACTGTAAAAAGTCTTACATGACTTGTATGACATGCAATGGTGTATGGTATTAATAGAAAACACCTGATATTTATACACAAATAATTTAAAGTTCTTATATTAAATGAATAACTGTTGAGTTTTACATGACAGAAGTATGCAATGGTATAAATAATAACTTATATTCATATAAAAATCATTTAAAGTTATTATATTGAATCATAATGCTAGTCTAATTAAAGTCATAGGATTTATACACATTTTTTGTAATTTTTTTATACACTTTATATAAAGTGTGTCATACAGATTTCATGTTTAGATGATCAACATCACTTGTATGCAGGAAATTGTACAGTGCAGAAGCTGGTTAGAGGATGTAGTGTCAAAATATCTCTGATCTTTATGAAGACTGATCATTTTCCTTCAGGATTTGAACAGTAAATTTGAAATCCGGAAATCTCAACACTTTCAAAAGTGTTTCCTCTCACAACACTGACACGGTGTTGAACACTAAGAGTAAAATATGACCTTCAATGCAGAGAACAACAACATTGTTGCAGAGCTGGGTGAAGCTTTGTGGCAAACACTGGCAGAGTTATAATTCTACATTGTCGACCTAACTCTTTAAAAGAAAATCTTGGAATTATTCTCAGCCTTAGGAGTTGAGTATTACTCCACCCTGGTGTTGATAGAACCTTTTTTTTTTACAAAGAAAAAGAGTTACCAGTTTTTCTTATTAGGGTTCTGCATTACCAACTTTAAAGAACTGTAAAATAAACTGACAAATCATTTAATCTGAAAATAATTAATCTTTCAAAACTTTATTTCAAAACAATCCAGAAAGTTAAATTGTAACCTTAGTCTGGGATCATAGTAGAATTCTGTTCATTGTAAAGTAAAAAATAAAGGCAAAATCCAAACAGTAGTTTTAACAAACTATTTATTTTAATTAACGAACAAGCCTCTTTACATCATAGGTCAACCTTTAAAATAAACAATGAATGCACAATTTAGGCATTTCTGTCATCAGAATTATATGAAAGCTGCTTATCAAATGGTCTGTAATACTTCAAGTCCTGTACATATTAGTGAAGTTGATTCAGAACCTTCACCTTTGCAACAGTCCAGCAGTCAACAACATTCAGCAGATGAAGAACAGCAGCAGGATACGAGTGGATCAGTTGCTGACAGTAGTTTCATAGAGCGGGAAAGGCTGTGCAGATCCAACTTTCTTGAACAATCCTGGAGTGCTGGTTCTCTAGACAACACAACACAAAACCAGACCAAATACAATTAATACAATTTGTGTGTTATAAATACAGCAAGTTTATGGTGGAAAAAGTTCAATCATCTTAGACTTTTGTGAGCTAAACAAGATTAGATTATAGGGTTAGTAGGTTAGCTCACCCAAAAATTATCTCATTAATGACTCACCCTCATGTTGTCCCAAGCCCGTAAGACCTCCGCTCATCTTCAGAACACAGTTTAAGATATTAGTACGAGAGCTTTCTGTCCCTCCATTGAAAATGTATGCTGGTATACTGTCCTTGCCCAGAAAGTAAATGTGACATCAGTGGGTTACTCAGAAATGTTTTGAAGCATCGAAAATACATTTTGATCCAAAATTAACAAAAACTATGACTTTATTCAGGATTGTATTGTCTTCCGGTTCTGTTGTCAATCTGCTTCAGTGAACGCAGTGGTTCAATGGTGACGTAAGACGCTGCTTACACCAGGTGTTTTTGAGTCTGGAAGTGGTCAAAAGTGGACAAGCTCAAAACGTTTTAGACCCTGTTTACACCATAGACTGTAAAAATAGGTTTACACCTATATGTAGCCTCATCCACTTGTGAACCGATCGACCAAAACGCATCTTAATACCATGTAAACTTAATATTATGTAAAGAGGGCCTCTGCTGCGTTCACGCTATAACTGTATTTTGGAAGATATGGAAACCTGTGACGTTATACTCAGAGCAGTTTGTGACTTGAATCAATGCGTTTCAGTGGCAACACCGAAATGAATCTGCAGCAGTCAGGTGGTACAGGTCAGCGCTCTTTAGGTTGTTTGTTTATTATTATTGTAATGTTATGTGCTTTGAGACATGAGGTATTTTAACAACGTCTCTCGTGACGTTGTTATTTGCTTCCTGCTGTATACCCTAGTGATGCATTTTTTTGTTCATTTTGACAACAAGTTGTCTCAGTTCATTCATTTTGTGTTGACTGCAGATGCTCAACATTATAGGTTTTGTACAAATTGATTAGTTCACATCTCGAGTCTTCGGGTTCGGGTCCAAGTCGTTCGTTCATCTCATGACAGCCACATATAGAGGCTATGCTGTCTGTACCGGAAAGAGAAATGATTAGTTCACCTCCCGAGAGAACGAATGAAAGAACAAAAGAACAAATGATTCAAGTTTGGAGGTGAGGTACACTAACTGACTGCCTAGCCTGAAGACCCTGCTAAGCAATGAATGAATCATTTCTGTTTCTCATAATTTGGCCTTGCATTGCAGTTATTTTATTAGTTTTTTTATTAGAAATGTTATCAACATCGCTTAAGAATGTGTTTGGGAATTTGGCCATTAACATTTTAAATATATTCTGCTGAAATGAACAAAATGACTTGACAAATGATTTGCTCATATTAACGAGATTCAAAGATCTGAGTCAGTAAGATGATCCGTACTACCCATCACCACTGTGCATTTAAAGCCAGGAGTGGGTTTAAATAGTGCTCGTAAGTTATTATATTATATTATTAGGGCTTGAAAACTGCCATATAAATATTTTAATTTCATCTCATAAGTTCACAAGAAGAATAATAGACTGCTGTCACTTTAAGAAGGGATGCAAAGATCCATTATACTGTTAACTTGCATATGCGTGTTTACGTTCACTTCAAACATAACTGAACATGTGTGAATGCTCGCCAAGATGGACATTTTATCATTATTTTGTGTATTTGACTGTTTCAGCACAATATATAAGCAGTGAAAAAGAACTCAATTTAGTACTGAGCGGTGGCTTTATGTGCCAAACTTTGGGTGTGAACACAATGCGGGAATGAGTAAAATTAATACACGCAATCCCACACCAAAATTCAAGGCCTGAAACACCAACAATATTCATCTACACAGTTAAATATAACAGTTGTTCTTACTAAGACATCATGTATTAACTAATAAGACTTTTAAGCTTAATGTCCAATAATTTGCTGAATTTACTTAAAACTATTTAGTAATCTGTACTGTTTGCAGCGAGCAAGCGCAGCGGGTAGTATATTCTTTCAGATGCATTTTTAAAAGACTACAATTAAAAAATTTATATATTATATTATATGTATATGGATTTAATTCTATATATAAAAAATGTATATATTATATATTTTTTATATATAGAATTAAATCCACCTGCATTTGGTGGGTTG